GGCCCTTTCTGAGATTTGGCCGATGGACTAGATGAGCTAGCGCTATGTCTCGAGCCGATCAGAGAAGAGGAACTGTGTCAAATTTCATAAATAACACCTTCCATATTTGGAAATTGGGCTTGATGACGTGCGTACTGCTTAGCTGTCACCATGCTGTGCATGCTCAGCAGTGTAATTGAATGGAAGAAAACAATTACTTTGGTGTTTTGCAGCTCTATTTCGTTCCCTGACGGTAACCAAATCTAGATGTAGGAATCTGTTGAGCAGGAGAGTGACACATGTCTTCCCGAAGGCTGTCCAGGCTGCAGTGGTGATGAAGAAGACACGATCATCACCCCGAGGAAAACTCATCGTGATTTTCTTCCACTCCAAGGCAATGTCGAGGTATGAAGGGTGCTTGTACTGCCTTCCAAAGTGAAGAGGAGATGAACATGGCTGTGCATAGCTGTTGTTCTACGCCAACTTTCCTACTCTTGCTGATACCGTAGTGGCATATTGCAAATTTCGTGGACGAACAACTCTCTAGTCACTAGTGGCTAATGAGCAACACTAACAGGTGAGATTTTTCAATTTGACAAAAATTGTTTTTGTTTGAGAACTGACAGTGGCAGTCATTTGACTCAGTAGGTGTCTTTGCTGCTTCTTTCCCTTCATTCGTAGGGTTGTGCTTGAATAGTACAAGTAATCTACGTGGAGATAAAAGTTTAATAATAGCAATGAAAAGTATGAATGCCGCAGACATCACCACGCAACATGACAATTTGTTCAAGGTTTGGTTTTGTGTGTTTCCAAAATCGATTTTCACGTTCCGATCATCAGTGGAAATACGGAACTAAAGAGATCAAGGGAAAAACAAAGGTTAAAAATCCAAAGAAGTGTGACACATGACGGGTAACTTGTGGTAAGTTTTACAAAAAGTGAGAACTAAAATAAAGAGTAAGTGTGACAAACGGGCATGAACAGTGCAGAAACAACTCATGAACACGGGGTGCAAACTCACGAAAATAACCTAAGTGCTAAAACATGTTCTTTTTGCTTACACAAATCGGGCTTATGCGTACGAATACAAACAGCTTCAAGGACCTTCAACTGCTGGACATAACGGGCACGACACAGTACAGAGAAGTGGGAATCATCATACACACTCAAACAATCGGGACGAGATAACAAATGCAAATACACAGCTGACTTCTTACGAATTTCACCCTCATCAGCTCCATCACCTTCCCTGCCACCTGACTCCTCCTCGTCCGTTTTATCACCATCACCACCAGCCGTCTCACCGTCATCCGCCTCGTCTTCATCCGTCGCCTCGTCATCACCCGCCTCGTCGTCATCTGTATCCTCGCCGTCATCCGCCTCGTCGTCATCTGTATTCTCGTCATCCGCCGCATCATCACCCAACTCATATTCACCACCAGTCAGTCGTCTGATACCATCCATGTTCTCCTTCCTACGTCTGTCCCGTGTCACTGTCTTTACCTCATCTACGTCCCGAGATTGTGTTCCGTTTTGCCCCCGGCTTCCGGTCTCCTTCGATGCTCCGCGTGGGCCTTGGCCATTCCTAGCATATATTTCGGTTGAATAATTGGCGGTCGACCTCCGTGGTCTCTGGACCCACGGATCAAGCGCCGGAGGGTGCTGCGGTGTCCGCACAGCCGGATACTGTGTCAAAGAAATGGGCTCAATGTCTGTGATTGGCGGTACTGTTGTTGTTGCCGACTCCTCCCAAACCCCAGCCACCAACGGCACTGGTGGTGGCTCCGGTGGCGGCAAGGGCAACGGTGGAGAAGGCACATTCGGTTGGCTTAGTGATCCACCACTCTTCCTCTGCACCGTGTGTTCGACTTGCTCTGGTTGTGTCGGTGGTAGAGGGAGCGGGTTCTTGCGTGGTCTTCCCCGCTTCGGGCGCTTCGCTTTTGCTGCGTCCGGCAGCATGTGAAGTGGTACATGCTGCTTGATACGTGCGCTCAGGTGTTGAAGGGTCCTACCAACGTACCGGCTATCACAATTCCGGCACTCAAATTGGTAGACCAAGTGGCTCAATAGGTGGGATGGTAGGACATCCTTCCTCACCGTGAACGCACGTATCGTAGTGAACACAGGGATGAAGTGCGCCGCAAAGTATGTTTGTGTAACTAGCGTTTTGATTGTGCGGCACAATGTCTGTGATGCCTCTCCTTTCCAAGGTAAGGAAAGGTAGACTGGGCAACGACTTGGACCAATGATGACGACCTTTGGTTTTGATGCTGATTTTAGTAGCTTGTTTAGCAGTTCCTCCGGGTAACCATTTTTGAGAAACACAGATTTCAGAAAACCTAGCTCATCCTTGAGTCGAGAGGGGGAACAGATTCGCCGCGCTCTATCCACCAGATTCTTCACCAGGTTGACCTTATACAGGTACGAACAATACGAGTCAAACACGATATATTGTCCGGTAAATGTTGGTTTCCTGTATATTGACGTTACAATTTCATCGTTTGACTTCTCCACACGCACATCTAGAAAGGACAAGGTGTTGTTCTGTTCATGCTCAACCGTGAATTTCAGAGAGGGATGTAAGTTATTCAATCGGTCCAAGAAGGCGTCACACTGTTGTACTGAATCAAAATATGTGAACGAGTCGTCGACAAAACGAACGTAAAACTCCGGCCACAGTGACGGGTCCACAAGAGATTCGCAGTAGCCAACAAATATATTTGCCAACACTGGACCTAATGGTGATCCCATGGCTACCCCATCCACCTGCCTATACATCACGTTATCAAATGAAAACTCAACGCCCGTAGTAACAAGAGACATCAGTGTACGGAAGGAGGATTCAGGCAGCCATGGCGTGTCAACAGAGTTATTGTGATAGAGAACATCCGCACAAATATCTATGGTCTGTTCCAACGGTACATTCGTGAACAAACTGACCACATCAAATGAGCACATGTGCGCTGTAGCGGGAATCTGGCGAGTGCGAATGAGGTCTACAAACTGGAAGCTATCCTTGACAATGTTCTTACAGTAATAATCTTGCACAGCTCCAAGCATCAAACAAAGCCACTTCGATACTTTGTACTGTGGGGATGCTACCATTGATAATATTGGGCGTAATGGACAATTCGGCTTATGGATCTTTGGCAAGCCATAGAGTCGCGGGCGGGCGGAGCCTATTGGCTTGATTCTCATGAACTCTGAGACCGAAATTTCTTTCTCAGCTTTCAATTTCTTTAGGTATGTTATCAGGCGTTTCTCTACTTTTGTTGTATTATCATGAGTGGAAACTGGTCCGAGTTTCACGAACTTGGAGTCATCGTTCAGGATAACCGCCATTTTTGATATGTACTCTGTTCGGCTCATTATGACCGTTGCGCGTCCTTTGTCCGGTCTGGTAATTAAGATATCATGATTGTTACTGAGTTCACGTCGGACTTTGAGGTGTTCACGGGACAGGTAAAATTTGCTGCGGTCCGGCGGTTTTGCAGCATGTTCTTCCGCAACCGCTCTGATACTGGCAGTGCATACAGCCTGCTGGGCATCAGACACGGGCTTGAGCTGCTGAAGCTTCTTGTAGAATAATTCAAACTCCGTGAGTACTACCTCCTTCTTGTTATTGGCAGGAGGAATGCCGAAGTCAGTACCCCGACATAGCAGTTCCTTTTGAACGGTAGAGAGCTCAATGTTGGCTCGGTTAATGATGGTGTCTGTGTTGATCTGTATCGCGCCATAACGTTTTGTGCGTAACCACTTCAGATTCTTCTCGTATTTCGCAATGAGCCTCGTCTGTAATTTGTTGTCATTAGCAGCAATAAGTGAACTAAATCGAAGATAGTCATGGGCAGAAAGGAATGAGCGAGCCACACAGTACAAACGTTTGAACTCACACTGTATAGTACAAAGTGTATCGGAGGACCGGGCGATATCATCCTTCAAGAATACTCTCTCTATTGTTAATGAGTGATACGCCTTGGCTCTGTGTACGCGCCGAGGCGGGTGATGACGAGGCGGCGGATGAAGACGAGGCGGATGACGGTGAGACGGCTGGTGGTGATGGTGATAAAACGGACGAGGAGGAGTCAGGTGGCAGGGAAGGTGATGGAGCTGATGAGGGTGAAATTCGTAAGAAGTCAGCTGTGTATTTGCATTTGTTATCTCGTCCCGATTGTTTGAGTGTGTATGATGATTCCCACTTCTCTGTACTGTGTCGTGCCCGTTATGTCCAGCAGTTGAAGGTCCTTGAAGCTGTTTGTATTCGTACGCATAAGCCCGATTTGTGTAAGCAAAAAGAACATGTTTTAGCACTTAGGTTATTTTCGTGAGTTTGCACCCCGTGTTCATGAGTTGTTTCTGCACTGTTCATGCCCGTTTGTCACACTTACTCTTTATTTTAGTTCTCACTTTTTGTAAAACTTACCACAAGTTACCCGTCATGTGTCACACTTCTTTGGATTTTTAACCTTTGTTTTTCCCTTGATCTCTTTAGTTCCGTATTTCCACTGATGATCGGAACGTGAAAATCGATTTTGGAAACACACAAAACCAAACCTTGAACAAATTGTCATGTTGCGTGGTGATGTCTGCGGCATTCATACTTTTCATTGCTATTAATAGTACAAGTGCTTGAAGTAAAATAAAATAAATAGAACTGTTCAACATGTGAAACATAAAATCTAATCAAGCATCAGTACATGTATTGCGAATTTCAACTTCAAAGCACATGATATCACAATGATCACAAAGTTTATGGGATCAGGAGGACACCATGTGTTCAACGAACACATGCACACATGCTGTATCAGTGCGCACACACATGTACACATGTGCGTGCACCCCCACCCCATCCCACAGACACGCGCGTGCAGCGCGCACATCCATACACAGGTGCATGCACCCCCCCCCCCCCCGACACACACTCCTACCCATACACATGTGCATAGGACCCACGCACACACACACACGTGTGCACAGACGAATACACAAACACACATGCCCGAACACACACAAGATACGTGTAAGTGTACATGGTCTTCCTGGTGCAGATGCGGGGCCAGCACAATGGAAAATACCTCCATCAAGATGCTTGATCAAGTGTTGTGATAATGGCACTGTTTGTTTGTTTTTACAAAGAAGTGTGGGAAGGATTACAATGCGTTATAATTCATAATTGTTCTTTGCCTTGTACTGTGCAGACCAGAATGCTTTGCTATCTACTTCTGGCTTTCCATCGGCATGGTGTTCAGCTGCAGCGGCATCTGGTCCGGGGAGTTGCTGGATGGCTGCACTGACACAGGATGGGTTTGCGTTGGCAATGCGATACGGCAGTCATTCCACATCATGAGCTACATGTTTATGTAATTTATATTGTCGCTCGTCCAGCAACGTCAAGGCTCTGCATGTAAACACAGGAGAACACCATAATAAAAAATACTACTCATACTCAGGGGATAATATTATAATTTTGGATTAGCAATTTCGTGCCATTTATGGGTTCCTGTCTAAACCATGCCGTGATATTGATTTCTATCTGCTCACAGAGTACCTTGTATTGTAACAATGCTCTGCATAATCACTACCCTCCGCCAATTATTAGATTCACACAATATCCACAACGTATGCAACACAATGCTGTCTATTGACACTACTTCGAACTGAAATACTCACTACTCTTCTCCCGTTTTCAGCTCCCTCTACCTTATGAATACTCTACATTACTGGTTTCGTTTCTACCCTTTCCATTGCTGCCAGCTCCCAGTCTTTTTCAATGCACCGCACCACCTTGAAATTTTTGTGATTTGATGTACACATACTTTGAAGTTGAAATTCGAACTACATGATCAGATTTTTGTTCCACATTTTCTATTTATTTTTACTTCAAGCACAACCCTACCGATGAAGGGAAAGAAGCAGCAGAGAGACACCTACTGAGTCTAATGACTACCACTGTCAGTTCTCAAACAAAAACATTTTTTGTCAAATTGAAAAATCTCACCTGTTAGTGTTGCTCACTAGCCACTTGTGACTAGAGAGTTGTTCGTCCACGAAATTCGCAATATAGCACTACGGTACCAGCAAGAGTAGGTAAGTTGGCATACAACTACAGCCATGTTCATCTCCTCTTCACTTTGGAAGGCAGTACAAGCACCCTTCATACCTCGACATTGCCTTGGGGTGGAAGCAAATTCACCATGAGTTTTCCAATTCGCTACAATCGATCTCGGGGTGATGATCGTGTCTTCTTCATCACCACTGCAGCCTGGACAGCCTTCGGGAAGACATGTGTCACTCTCCTGCTCAACAAATTCCTACATCTAGATTTGGTTACCGTCAGGGAACGAAATAGAGCTGCAAAACACCAAAGTAATTGTTTTCTTCCATTCAATTACATTGCTGAGCATGCACAGCATGGTGACAGCTAAGCAGTACGCACGTCATCAAGCCCAATTTCCAAATATGGAAGGTGTTATTTATGAAATTTGACACGGTTCCTCTTCTCTGATCGGCTCGAGACATAGCTCATCGGAATCAGTGCCCAATTCCTCTTCGGATAAGCCATACTTATTTTTGGCGTTCAGTTTCCCTTTAACAGCCCCATACTACTAGTACTAGTCTGGTATATACAGAAGCCTTGCATGTTTTTCGATTTTGACACAAGACCGGGACTCTGCCAACCGGTTTATAAATTATGGTTGTAGTCAGGAGCACTACGCGTCCTCGCCTTGTAACATGCTGTCAAAATCGAAAAACATAGTACAGTCAACTTCGCCAATAACGACATTCGGCGGGGCATCAGAAAAGTGTCCTTATTCGCGAAGTGTCCTTATAACCGAAGTCCCATTTGAATGTATGTGAACCCATATTTTGTATAGTATGACATGCATATCAAAATCAAGCTCTTTTCTTGCTCTATGTCAATGTGTACTTTATTTTCATATTGCAGTTGAAAGGAACTAAAAATTCAATATGCAAGGGAAATCAATTCAAAAATATGCCTTTTTGAGCCATCTACAGGGCCAGAGACATGTACATGTACATGTATGATGATTACTGTACAATCATGTACAATTACATGTACATAGTCATTGTATAAAAGGAAGAAAAAGCCCCCCCCCCTTGGCTGCATTTTCTTGCATGTGTGCCTTTATAATAATAATATCCATCAGTCATCACCATAGGTTCTGGTACTTCTGCATGACAGGTACATGTACTTGACTGACAGGTACTGCACACTGTACTTGAAATAGCTGTCAAAAGCCCAGAAAGTCGTTATTCAAGCAGTGAATATGACCTCGGGGCACTAAAAGCATGTCGCTATACGCGAATTGTCGTTATTCAGATAGTCGTTATATCCGAAGTTAAATGTATACAGTTAGATGGGACTTTGCTCTGGGCATGGAAATTCGGTCGTTATTCGCGAATTGTCGTTATATCCGCAGTCGTTATTAGCGAAGTTGACTGTACAGTCAACTTCGCTTATAACGACACTCGGCGGGGCATCAACAAGGTGTCGTTATTCGCAAAGTGTCGTTATACCCGAAGTCTCATTTTATGTATCACAGTGGGATGGGACTTTCCTCTGGGCATGGAAATTCTGTCGTTATTCGCGAATTGTCGTTATATCCGCAGTCGTTATTAGCGAAGTTGACTGTACTAGTCTGTACTCCCTGAGGCTGAGGCCTACAAAAACACTACACGGTCACATGCAGGGTGCACAGTCAGTGCAGTGCAGTGGCGCGGCGCGGCATGCAGTGCATATGCATGCTGTGTTTGCTGCACACGCCGTGCACGTGCAGGCATTTAAATCCGCGATCCGATGCCTGATATCTGTCATCTGATGTGACCGGGGCCGCGCCTGCGCGCTTTTAGCGCGTAGGTCTGCCACGGTCACCGGCAGTTCTACGATACGATAAATATCAGAGCAAGGCAGAAGGACTTGATATTACTTGTGACTTCTGGCAATTTTCTGCACTCCTCAACGTAGCGGTGTGGGTAACATAATCAGGATACTATTCGGGCTCATAGTGGGTCCACCTGCGCTTCCATCTATGCCTGTGGTGAGGAATTTAAGGGGTACGAGTGATTCAAGATATCAAAACACCCTCAAAAAGAGAAAATGTGGTACATGGATTGCCTACTGGAGACATTCAAATAAACAACTGGAGTCGTGGGAAGCCCCGTGCTACGTCCATGGTTGCAAACGCACAGGAATTGCTGGAGCCCATGTGTATTTCACCAGTCCTAAAGACGACAAATCTTGGTACATTATTCCTATGTGTCCTGGTCATAATCACCCGAGTGTGACGGGAGAGCTGACTGTAATACCTAGCGCGTTAACGGACAGAGCACCCCTCCGGGCCGCGGACGACTTCACATGTAAACCTAAGCCTAAGAAGAAGAAGAAGTCAGGTAAGAAGTCAAGTAAGAAGTAGAGCGTTGGAAGCCATAGCTGACTGTTACAGCATGCAGCCACAGCCTCCTGCAAGCACTCGGTCAAGGGCGCAGCCCTGCCGGACTTTCTTCTTCATTCTCGACCTCCTCTACCGTCCGTTTTGCCCTTCACGGTGAGCATCTTTCAACCATTTTGTCGTCAGTACACAAGTTCACTTCTTTGTTATCCGCTTGGCCATTGCGGCCATGCAGGTGGAAGTATGTACTACTATTCCCTAGGTGTTATGAACTTACATGTATGTATGAAAAATTAGCGGATAGACTGAACGATGCACTGCACGTGTTGGACCCGGTGTTCACCTTCTAATGTATGTATTCCCTAGTTTTACCCCGTCCATGTGATCCCGAGTTGTTTGTATTTATAGTCACTTTTTAGGTCTGGGGTGCAATTCTATCCTGGCTCAGTGTTGGTGTTACTGCTGCGTCTGGTGGCTTCCTTTCCTGTTCCTGGAGCATGCACATAGTCATTAGAGGGTAGACCTGCTGCTTACATGTACATGTACTTGCGTTTTCTTCATAGAGTACCCACTGTTGCTTTCCCCAATGCACGTTCTGGGGCGTAAGGAGTCTACTGGATTCCTTTGCCTGTATCTTTTATTCACATACGTTATTCACATACTTGTAATGTCACAAACATTAAATTTTGGTTCTCAACGGAATCGAAGAAACAGACAACGGTGCGTAGTTTAGGTGTGGAGCAGCTGTGTGCCAGGGATGTTTGAGTGATTTAGTAGCCCCCCCCCCCCCCCAACCGCGTGGCCGTGGCTACACCAGCTATTTATGTCTTTCTCAAAACCGCACAACCCTGCATTCGGAGCCCGGGGGGGGGGGGGGCACTTGGCATGTACATTGTGCGGGTGATCCTTATACCGGGATTTAATTTCCGGCCCAAGGGGGGGGGGGGGTCCCCCGTCGGTTTCCGAGGAAGCCGTAACTTTTTTCCGCTCCAAACTATTTTTCCGGGGTCCATCTACTCACAAAATGTCGTTTTGCACACCTTTTTGCCCATCCCTGTACAACTGAGTCCAGCTACATGTATGTCCGCGCAGAGTTAGGTGGATCCCTAACCCGGGTTCTACTCTAGGGTTCGGTTAACGCATTCTGCTTTCTGCTGCACATACATGTACATGTACATGTATACAGTAATAGGTGTGTGTTAACACTGTTTATACCAGGACAGTACAATACTCACTATTCCGTATTCGTATTTCCCACTCCTTCACCATAGCAATGCGATCAGATCAAGTATAGAGGAGCGCATGCTCCCGTGGTTTGGTTCTCTATTCTTCAGGTTTTCGTTCTTGTTTTCTTCGCACCCTTGTCTACTCTCTTGTCTAAATACAGGTGGAATCCTGATAATTCGAATATGGCTTAATTCGAACATACCGCTTAATTAGAAGTTTTTCCAGGACCGATTTCTATCAATACGTTTCCCACATAAAAAATTCTGATAATTCGAACCTCGAACTGGATACCCTATGTCCGGTTAATTAGAAGTCCCACAGATTCCATGTACATGTATGTAATCAAGCACGCTCAGGATCTAGGATCTAGGAGGTCATGATTGCTGAATCTTGCACGAGCCTGCAGTGCTTCCAGTTGGCTCACCTGTAAGCCGTTACATCGCTATGGGTTCAACCTAACGGAAGGTGAATTCAGAGATTGACTTTGCTTACGGTATGGTTGGACACCCCAGCGGCTGCCGTCATCATGTGTATGTGAAGTGACCGCCTCTGTGAGCCATCTCTTATCGTGCCCAGTTGGCGGTTTTCCATCGATAAGAGACACAACGGGATTAGAGACGTAACGGCTTCACTTTTGAAGATCATATGCAATAATGTGGCCATTGAGCCAAGTTTACAACCATTAACTGGAGAGCGGCTTCGTTATCGCACAGCAATCACGAGGACCAGGCATGTCTCGATATCGGTGTCAGTGGTGCTGCCTCGAACCGCACTGCACCATTGGCTACTGTCTATCACCGACATGAAAAACGGAGAAAGTATGAGAAGCGGTTTCGGAATGTCGAACATGCGTTGTTTGCCCCGGTGGTCATGACGGCGTCAGATGGTTTTGGTCGTTCGGCAACCAGCCTGTATAAGACTAAGAGAATCACATCGCTGCTGGCTGACAAGCGTATTGAACCGTATTCACATGTCATGGCATTTGTCAGGTGCCGCATTTCCTTTGTCCTCCTAAGGTCCTGTATAGTATGCCTTAGAGGGTCTAGAACATTATTTGGAAAATATCAGCAAAGAATTGATCAACAAGAGCCTCCCGTCACCATGGTCACGCTGGCGGTTTCAGAGGCAGCTATTGCTAGGCATCGGCGGCTAATGCTAGCATTATAACTAGCATTATTATTATTTGTAAATAATCGACGCGGAGACAACAATTTTATAATAGCTATAAAGAGAACAAATTCCTGCTGTCATCGCCACACTACAATGGCTCAGTCACGGCTTTCCACTGATGATTGTGACAAGAAAATCGATTTTGGTAAACCTTCATGACTTTGTTGTAGTGTGGCGATGACAGCAGAATTTGTTCTCTTTATAGTAGTTCAAAAAGAACGAAACAGCATGCTGTCCGCAGATTGAGGCTATTATAAAATTATTATTATTATTATTATTATTATTATTATTATTATAGACAACACCTCATGGCATGAGAAGAAAAATCAGCCAGTACGGGAGATGTGGGTGTTAACCAACCATGGTGAATAAAAGAAGAAAAGTAATGGTCAAGACGGAGAAGCATGGGAGGGACAGGTGATGGTGAATCTAGTGAGCAGATTTAAATGCGTCCAGGGTACTGGCATTGCGCGTAGTAGCGGGCAGCGCAAGCCAAGCAGAGTAAGCAACAAAGAGTGGAGAGCGTACAAGGGAGGACGT